CCCAAACAAGCCGGAACACGACGAGAAGCCCACCTACCCGCTCTTCCTTGCCGGAAGAGAAATCTCACAGAGTAGACGGCGGCTCCGCTGTGCGTCCGGCCACAGGGTGGGTCACTTGGCTCCGTGGGGCCCCGACCTCACCCCCCGACGCGCCTCCTCTCCCGCCAGAGTGGCCGGACTTCGTCAACAGCTACGCGGCCTGGTGGTCGTCGCACGCGCTGGACTGGCTGCGCTTCGGGAAGCGGCTGCTGGTGGTGCACTACGAGGAGCTGCGCCGCAGCCTGGTGCCCACGCTGCGCGCCATGGTGGCCTTCCTCAACGTGTCCGTGAGCGAGGAGCGCCTGCTCTGCGTGGAGAACAACAAAGAGGGCAGCTTCCGGCGGCGCGGCCGGCGCCCCCACGACCCCGAGCCCTTCACCCCCGAGATGAGGGCTCTCATCGACGGCTACATCCGGACAGTGGACCGGGCGCTGCGCGAGCGCGGCGGGGCGGGGCTGCCGGGCGAGTACGTGCCCAGATGACGGCCCGGCGACCTCGCCGGGGGACCCTGAACCCCCGAGGCCGCGGGGTGCGCACCCGCCACGGGGTGCCCGGTTAGCGCACACGCAGGCTTGCCGGCGCCCGGCTTTCCCGCTTCCGGCCCCGCCGCAGACTCGTGCCCGGACGCCAGGCGGGCAGCGGGCACCCTGCGGGGGTGTGAGCTCGCAGGCGCCGCGGGGCTTTGTGACCCTGACTGCACGTCTGATGCCCGGTGACCACGTGTGGGGAGACGGCCAGGCGCCGCCGTCCACGGCTGCCTCTCCCCTCCCCGCGGACCGGCTGGGGGCGGGACAGAGTGGCGCCCCCACCCTGCACACACCCACCCCTGACTGCACGTCTGATGCCCGGTGACCACGTGTGGGGAGACGGCCAGGCGCCGCCGTCCACGGCTGCCTCTCCCCTCCCCGCGGACCGGCTGGGGGCGGGACAGAGTGGCGCCCCCACCCTGCACACACCCACCTCAGGACCTGCCGCCAGCTCCGTGCCGCCCGCCGCCGGGTCCAGCTTCAGCACGTGCGGGGGCCCCTTGCCTGGCCTCTTCCTCCTGCGTCCTGGGAAAGCTAGGGTTCACACCGTCCAAGAGGGGGGCCATGAGGGGAGCCCCAGACCCCAGGGGTCCACGGGCCAGCAGGAGGGGGCTCGGGGAGGGGAGGCCAGGAGGACCCGGTGCCAACCCATCTTGATGGCCCTGCTCCCGTGGGGTCCCACGCTGGGGGCATGAGGAACGGGCTGCCTGGTCCATCCGCCTGGCCCATGTGGGGGGGGAGGGGCTGGCTGCACCTTCCGCCTGTCCCCGAGGCCCTGTCCCTCTGTGCCACACCGTGTCTCCGTGGGAGGTGGATGCCAGAAGAAAGGCCGTCACGACACCGTGGCCCACTGTGCGCCAGCCTAGGGGCAGGGAGTGTGGTTAGGAGCAGAGCTAGAAGCTCAACACGGGGGCAGCGTGTGACGTGTAGGCTCGGGGGTCCCGTGGGCCTGGGCCTCCGGGGAGTGCACAGCCGGGACGGCCCTGAGGAGTCTGCAGGCATTGACTCAGCAGGCCAGAGGGAAGGGTACGTAGGCAGAGAGAACAGCACGTACAAAGGCTCAGAGGCTAGGAAAACCCTGATGTGCTTTGCGGAACAGATGAATAGGGTTGGCGGGGGGGGGGGGGGGGGGGGGACAGGAGTGGGCAGGTGAGGACAGGGCTGGGGACCCAGGAAAGGACTGTCCTTACGGCCGGGGAGTGCACAGCCGGGACGGCCCTGAGGAGTCTGCAGGCATTGACTCA